ACAAAGGTGGGGGTGTAGTGGTTCTCAACAAGGAAGATTATATCAATGAGGTCAACAACATTTTGAGTGATAATACCACTTATGTCCGTTTACCTAAGGATCCTAAAATAGAGTACAAACGTTCTCTTAAAAACATCATTAATAGGGGGTATGTAGAAGGTATTCTGAATAAAAAAGAAAAGTCCTACTTATGTCCATCAGCACCTAAGTTACCAGTCTTATATATATTACCGAAGGTTCATAAGGACCCCATAAAACCACCGGGGAGGCCAATAATAAGCGGTATTGGCTCCTTATCCTCTAGGATTGGTGAATATGTGGACTTTTTTCTCCAGCCACTCGTTTTACAAACTGCAGCATATTTAAAGGACACTAAACAGGTTCTAAACGAGGTCAGCTCCTTAGTTACTTCTCCCGACACCTTTTTAGTTACAGCGGATGTCGCTTCTCTATACTCAAATATTAATCATAATGATGGTATGGAAGCAGCTGATTTCTTTTTAACACAATACAGCTCCTTACCTGTCACCCAGAAGAATTTCATTCTAGAGCTTTTAGAATTTGCTATGTTTAAGAACTATTTTTGGTTTAACAAAGATTACTATCTGCAGATAAGAGGCGTGGCAATGGGGGCAAAGTTTGCCCCCTCCCTGGCAAACCTATTTATGGCCAGGTGGGAGGAGGACCTTATTTTTGCCAGAGATTGGCCTGAACTGCTGTTTTACAAAAGATACATCGATGATATCTTGCTTATATGGAATGGGGAGGAGGAGTCTCTCATAAACTTCTTTAACTCATTAAATAACAATACTCTTAACATCAAACTCACATATGTTTATAGCCGTGATGAGATTAATTTCTTAGATTTAACTCTTGTCAACTACATGGGCAGGATTACCACTAGATCTTTCTTTAAAGCAACAGATCGCAATAGCTTTATTCCTCTTGGGAGTTGTCATCATCCCAAATGGCTGTCTAATATTCCTAAAGGACAGATAATGAGGATTAGGCGCAATTGCTCGGATGATGAGACTTTTCATGTTCAGGCCAATGTCTTAAAACACAGGTTTCTAGAGAAGGGATATAGTGAGGCAACCCTTGATCAGACTATTCGGGTAGTGGCGCAGATGAATAGAAACACCATGTTGATGGATAAAACAAGGAACAATCAAGGGAAAAAAATCTGCCCATTCGTCACATCTTTCTCAACCCAATATAAGGCAATCAATAAAATAATGAACAATAATTGGGGTATTTTAAAAATGGACCCAGTTCTAACAGCAATACTACCGGAGAAACCGGAAATTGTATTTCGGAAAGCAACCGCTGTTAGGCACATGATTGCACCAAATGTTGTGGATCCTCCTAATAGCATTTCTTTGTTTAATGATCTAAAAGGGTTTCACCCCTGTAATAGATGCATCATCTGTAAGTGTGACAATACCAGAAAGAGGAAAGTCAGTACATTCCAATCATCAGTTACTGGCAAAATTTATAACATCAAACATTTCATCTCCTGTCAAAGCAAATTTGTAGTATATTTACTACAATGTCCCTGTCAAAAACAGTATATTGGCAGGACAACAAGACGTCTACGTGACCGGTTACGTGAGCACGTTTCCAATATCAAGAAGGGTTTTAGGGAGCACTCATTATCAAATCATTACCGCCTCCACCATAATAAAGACCCTTCTTCACTCAAATTTATTGGTATTGATGTGATCAATAACCATTGGAGGGGTATTAATAAAACTAGGGCAGTTTCCCAAGCCGAAACTAAATGGGTGTTTGACCTCCAAACTTTACATCCTTTGGGCCACAACATTGAGGTAGACGTCAATTGCTTCATTGCTAACAACTGACGGTTTTATTTTTCATTTAATCATATATTGTGATTTGAGCTTCTCTTGTATACTATGTTTTAATTATGTTGGATTCTCATCATGTGATTATTTCCAGCATGAGAGTTATTTTTCCAAGCGCATATTATTTTTTCCATGTGTATAACATTTTAGCATTTGGAATTTATTATGGGAGACATTTTTTTCCATATGCATAACATTCTATTATCTGGCATTTTATTTTATATCTATCCTGACTGTTATACCAGTCTTTTTTATTACTTATTGCCTCCGCCCTGTTTCTTGCGTTCATTTGGGAGACGGGCGCAAGAATGGAGTATACGGTTTTTATTAACCTTTCTTCTAGTTTTAAAGCGTTTCTGGTTTTTTACCTCTGTTTATCCTGATTTCCAGTTGTTTCCATATATATTTATTATGGGACATATATCCAATACCCTGACTGGGTCTGGTATTGTGATATTAGATATGCTATTCTGCCAGACCCAATACATGATATATATAACATCATCTGTGTTTTAATTTTATATCCTCATTTTATTTCCTGATATCTGAAGTTTGTAGCATGTATACGTTTGTATTCTGCATCTTGCCATGGTCCGTTATATAGCTTATGCCATTCACTGAGGGGATCTCTATACCCCATAGATCATATTGTGCACGGTTAATGTTACAGATATTTGCACTTCCACTCCCTATAATGGTATAGTGTTTACAGCTTATTCCCTGGGGTCTGTGACATAGCTAACAACCGTGTCTGGGTTTGCACACTGAGACTTTTTTGTCTCCTCCTCACTACATGGTAGATCGCGGATCCACGGCAAAATGGCGCTGCCGTGCTCGCGCATGCGCAGTGTGTGTTCGTCTTCGGGAAAATGGCCGCGGCTCATTGCGCATGTGCCAATTCCCCTATTTCTGACATTGGCGTCGGTCACGCTTCTGTGCAGTCTCCCCTCTGATGATGTGCCTTTAGCACGAAAGGCCTAAGGAGGAACTGTACAGAGCGTGACGTCATTTACCCGCCGGAGCCACGAGGAGGCCCGGCGTTCTACACCGCTGGGGTCAGTACTGCATCGTTTACCTTATGCATTTCATATTTTCATGATGTATCATATGCATACTGACCTGCTGCTGTTTTTATAAATAAACCTGAGATTCTGAACATACTACACTATTTTGGGCATTTGTTTTCTGGGGCTCCTGTCTGGAGCTTTCACTCCCATAGAGAAAGCACTTTGCCATCCTGAGAGGAGTTTTCTCCTGAAGCACCTGGCTTACCTTAAGGGGATCCCCCGGACCTGTAACAGGAGTCTGTGATGACCCACCGTGAGGGAGACGCCTGGCTGCCTGGATTCTGATGTTCCCATTGCCCGTGATGCATAATCACACATGCGCATAACCCATGCGTTTCCGGTGAGTGCGCATTTCTGTTACTCTGACAAAGTGGAAACCGCGGGAATCCGTATCTCTAGAGTTAAGACAAGATGTTACACAGGTGGATGCTGCACCGACCACCACAAGAGCATATGTGTCTTCGTGGGGCAGGTTCATGACTGGTTATGAGGTTACTATGGTGATGGGCTGGTAGGTGCCACCCTCACCTGTGTAATTTCTTGTCTTAGCCGTTTTATCACTGAGGCAGGCTTCAATGTGATGGGTGACCTGGCAAGACCGGAAGTGACATGGACCCTGACCAGAAGTGATGGCTGGAATTTATATCCAGCCATAACGTCCTGTCCTAGTCTCTTCCCCTCTATGTGAATAGATTATGAGGAATCTCCTATTTTTCCTTTGCAGTGACTTAATGGTTTCCAAGCAAGGAACATTTTAACTGGAGAGTGCATGTGTATTTATTGTCTAACTGATTGAAAAATGATACAATATGGAGATTAATATGGGTATGATGAGAACAATAAGTCATGCATTTTTGGCAGATTTGTTTACTTTTTTAGCCAAATGGCCCGGGGAAAGTTGGCCTGCCCCACAAAGGGATGGGCTTGTGGTTCTCATGTCATGAACTGTGTGTTATAAATAACTGTGCTGAGAGGGTAGTGAAGGTTTGTTCTGATGAAGAGGGTATAGCCCTCGAAATGTTTAAGCCAGCTAGGAACCTAGTGGAGTACACAACTCTGCTACAGATATGTAACTTGATGTGCTGTTTTATTCACATGGTTTGTGAATATATTTTAATGTGGATTATTAATAAATGTCACATGGGATAATTCAATAGGCTGGTGCACTATCTTTTGCTTGTGTTTTAAAGTTGGTTTCAGGACTTCTCCAGTCTTCGGAGGGCAGCTAGGCTTGAAGTAGTTGTCCCGCATGGTGAAGATATTTATTTCAAACCATTACCAGACTATCAATTCATGCGCAGGAGGAGGTTTGTTTTGTGAAGGATAGTTGTATCAACTGATGCTGAACCCCAAGTGATACATGCAAATCACTCAAGTCATCATCTGGTAAAGTAGGCATAAGAACTTGCCATTTAGCTTTAACCATAAACTGGAGAGATACTCAATTGGGAATTAAATTAGAGGCTAGCCCCTTGGGACCCTGAGGTCTCAAGATAGCTATAAGATAGTTGTCAAAAAAAAAGTGTAAATATCTATACAAGAAGGAACAGGGTAGGGCATGCTTCTGCTGTAGCTGGGTGAAGGAATACAATACACCTTTATCATGAATATCTGATAATCTTAAAATCCTATGACTTTTCAAAAAAAGAGGATCAGGCATCATACACAATTGATCAAGAATTGGATTATTCCACAAAGGCAAATCCTGAATGGAAACCCGCCTCCTGGTCACTATCCACTATGGATACAACCAGTTTAAGGATAAGTACATGTACAGTATTTTACAAGAGGAAAAAAAATCAACAATAGTTCTGTTTCCTTGACACATGCTATGTAATCCTCTAATTTGAGGGTATATAAAAAAAAAAAAACAGGATGTTAAACATTTCAACTACCCTACTAGGTAATACAGGTATCTGGGAGGTTCATATCTGCTTCCTCCTTAGGCTGATAGTTAAAATGTTACTAAACCCACAACAGTAAAACCAGCCTGTATAAGCAGTAAAGAATTCTTGTTATACTCACTTTGGAACCTAAGGAGTTAATCCTCTGCATTGTGTAAAAAGGCTGTTTGATCCTTTCTTCTCTGCCTCTCCTCTTGTTGAAATGAACACCTGATACAGACTAAACTGGTGGTCACATGCACATGCTCAGTTTGGTGTGTATTGCTAGAGAGGTTTTTTTTCTTCTCGGCAGAGTGAATGTGATCAGCACAGGGCCAATCAGCACTGTCCAGACAGAGGGTCAGAGGTTTCACATCCTCCTAGAGCAGAAAGAAAAAACCTCCCACAAGCTTAAACCAGTGCTTTGCTGAAGTCACAAGACTGCTCCAACTGCTGATGAGAAAAGGTATTTAGCAGTTTATATTTACTAAAATAATTGCATTTTCATGTTCTGTGTACTGTGTGAGACCAGATAAAATGAATGCAGGGTCCTGGGTTTAGTATCACTTTAATTTAGTTTTATTTCAGTTCTGTAAAAAAAAAAGAATTCAGAACTATTACAGTCATGTGAGCAAGATATCGTATGTACTCTCCAGCGCCTCAGGAAATGCACAGCCAAAAGGGAAGTCAAGGGAACCAGGACAGCGACAACCAAAGGAAATGCTTCAGGGGTGCACCCTCCTCAGACGGGGAGATCAGCCACTAGATAGAGAGTAATAACAGACATCACCAGCAAGGCTCCCATCATCCATTCACTACACATCTGCACCAGAGGCTGGTCAGTAGCTCTGAGGAAAGGGATTCATCCCCAAAACATGTCAGCCATTTGACCGCACTGACAGTTGGAACACCTTGCTTGCAGTTGTGGTCATCGTCATTATGCAAATGCTTTTTAGATACATGCTTCGTCTGTGAGTATGTTTTTATCTTATATACCTTTCAATAAACCTTGGATAATGCACTAGGTGTGTGTGCCACCTGTTTATTCTATACTCAGTCACGTGAGCAAGTATATAGAGACATCTAGGGAGGTGAATCATCTTAGTTACATTACTTCTACTTATCACTAATTCCACAGAGTCTCCAAGATGGCGGACATCTTGGAGACTCTGCCAGGCTTCACCACCTATACTACACACATACACAGCACCATCTGCTGGCAGATCTAGGCTATCTCCTTCTGGTACAGTCACCCAACATCTGGCTAGAAGACATTTTACCTCTCCACTACATGAGCCTGTTTTCAATTTCTAAGTTGTGAGTTATTACTTATATTCTTATTAAATACTATTACAGTACACACTTAGAGGCACTGTGTTCCTTTGTTTCTTAATATTAATGTGATACCTATGTAAGCATGTGTATACAAATCTTCAAATTGTGCCAAATAAACAGAACAGTAATTTGAAAAGATGCTGTGTGTATTTTTTGTGCCTGTTTCCTATTGCAGTAGTTATTATTCATTTGGAACTGCTGATCAAAATGAGGATAGGAGTTGCCTATCTTTAAAATTTCAAGAACAATGACCTTGGCTCCATGTTTCTGCCACACCACCTGCTTAATTATCAATGCATGATCTTGCCTTTTTACAGGTCCAGCTCTACCAGTGTGTCCACCCTCTTGACTTGGGTTCCATGTTGCTTGTGGCCACTGCCTCAAACCTGATACACCTTCAGAAGGTCCTGTGTTCCTGCCACCAGCCTTGATGGATTGTCTGACAACCACTCAGCTGACACCTCTGCAAGCAATCCTCTCCAGAGCCACCTAAACGGCATTTGTAATTTTTTTGAGCTCTGCACTCCCTGTTCCCACCTCCAGGGGTGCTCAGTGTTTAGCTGCAAGGAAAGCCATCTCGTCACTGGCCTCCAACCAATTACATGACACCATAGAGGGGTCTTTAGTGATGACAACTCACAAATATTGAGGCATAACCAATTTAGCCAATAAATTTTTGCTAAATTCCTCTATTGTGAAAATGGCATATGTTTAAAAAGGATTAAATCATCTGCATTAAGTACTATAGGTTCTGTTCTTCCTTTAAACTGATACCATAGTAGTACTCTATCTGTCATATTTTAACAGTAAGGGTTTCAAATGCCAAGGTGATTAAAAGCTGAGATGGGAGACGCCACTGTCTTATACTGTAAAGCAAAGAGGAAAGTCATTAATAGTAGATTAAGGGTGGGCATAAAGACTAGAAATCCATTTCTCCTTAAAATAATTTCTCTCCAAAAATATTTTATTAAAGAATAAGGCATAGCAAAGCAAATACAACTACGGATCGCAGCCCGAGAATAGACACAATAAACGGCGTCCCGTATCGCAGACGGGTCAGACATGTAGATTACAATGCAATCATAGCGTAACAATGCAGTAAAGACAGGTGTATATTACATATCTGCAGATATGAAGAGTATAATAGATGAGGTAATGTAGATAGTAAAGGGAACTGACCCATGTAATAATGAGCTTTAATGATGAGGGGGTACGAAGTGTCGGGTAAGGGTAGCTTTCAAGAGGTTGTGTGTTCTGTGTTGTGTATCCGGATTAGAAAATGTGTGCTACCTAGAAGTATTTGCGTCTGTAAGAAAGTAACTGCTATATTTTGTTGAGGCAATGTGGATGATGTGAGTATTTACTAAAGGAAGAATAAAGATAAGTCTGAGAGGATAGAACAGGTAGAGAAAGGAATGTGAAGTGGTGTAATTGGAGGGGGGGGGTGTGGAGGGGAAAAAAAAATTATTCCTTTACTTCTTTTTCCTCCCCTTTTCCTTCTCCCCTTCCCTCCTCCAAATATGAATTTGGATCATATTCTTATGTAGGAGCCGAGTCAGTAAAGTCATTATTTAGTTTAGCAGTAACAAGGTCCTACCTTTCCTCAGGGCTTGTGCTGCTCCATGTGCTAGCATCCATCTTAGGTCTGCAAAGCATTGTGGGATCCTTTATGCTTTCAGCCCTCTGCGGCTCCTCCCAGGAGGTGGCGGCTTATCTTATTTAAGTCTGCTGTTTGTAGTTGTCCATTGCATTTGTGTCCTGTCTGTTGCACAGCAGCAAGCTCCTGTTCAGTTAACTCATTGTTCTCCTGGATACCGACTCGGCTTTGGCAAAGACTCCTCCTGGCATCTGACCCCGGCTCTGGCGACCATTCTTCCTGGCTTCTGACCCCGGCTCTGGTGGCCATTCTTCCTGGCTTCTGGCTTTGGCTACGATTCCCGCTGGTTCTTGACTTGATTATCCTGGAAGACAACCTCGGCAGGAGAACTTCTGTCCTACCAAGTCATCCGCTGTTGCTGTCGGACTTGCATAGACTCTTGCCTTGTTTCTGTTAAATAATAATAACAGAATAATTAATATTAATTAATAGGGCAAGATATGGGTCAAAAACTCAGACGCCCGTTATGCAACAAGTTTTCAACCCATCTAATTGTAAATCTAAAATCTCCCTAATGAACTGGGCATTCTCTGAAACATCATTATGTATAACCATTCAGTCTAGGGGTCAAGATTGGTCATGTAGTGTTGTGTGTTAGGTAGCGTTGGTTTTGAAGTGACTCCAACATCCCCATGCTTTCCTGAATCTCTCGGGGCGTTCCTGCGCCACAGAAATCAGTTCCTCCATTTCCTCAATTTTGTTGATCCTGGTAAACCATTCTTGAATAGTAGGGACATGTGTGGAGCGCCAATGAACTGGGATACACTGTTTTGCTGCGTTCACCATATACAGGGCAACGATTTACAGTACGTCTTAAAAGGGAGTGAGGAGTGGTAGAGCAAGAATTGTGCGGGAGAGAGGTCTAGAGCGTACGTAGTCACTTGTGTGATTATGGTTTGAAATTTTCTCCAGAAGGGTTGTAGCAAAGAGCAGTCCCACCATACATGTAAGAGTGTCCCTATCTCCTGGTGACATCTCCAACACAAATCCGAGACATTAGGATCGAATTTGTGATGCAGGGAAGGTACTCTGTACCACCTGGAGTACAGTTTAAAGTTGTTTTCCTGTGTGGAGACGCAGATGGAACCTTTGTGTATATGTTCATAAATGTGATCCCAGTCTTCTAGTGATAGTTGGAGTTGCAGTTCGGAGCTCCAGGCCCTGCAAGCTTTCCTGGACTGGAGATCAATTGTGTTTTCGAGGCATGTGTATAGCTGAAATACAGAATCTGTAACTCATAGTTTTTCAAATGGGGTAAGTGGTCTGGTGTAGTCTTTTAGATGTGACGAGCTATGTATAAAGTGGTGGAGTTGTCTGTACATCCACGGCGTCAGGGTCAGAGATGGCCATTTGCTTAGAATGAGGTCTCTGGATAAGAGTGTCTTATCTTTAAAAAGATGATGTACCCTCAAATTGTCTGTGGAGCTATATCCGGCTAGGAAGGCACTCGACATACCCGGTGGAAATTCTGGGTTCATTTTAATCAGAGTGAGTGGGCCAAGGGTGGAAGAGAAATCACTTTTCCAAGTCATCTGATACATGATAGCGTTGGGCCTATGAGAAGATGTTCCCTGAACTCAGGTGGGGTGTGGGTGTTTTTCAGCCAAGGAGTGGCTGCAAGCGGGATCTCCGAAAAGGCCGCTTCTAAGGTAACCCAAGCCTTACGGTTGCCATTTGTCGACCAATCAACTATTCTTGCCAGGTGACAAGCTTTGTAGTATCGTGTGATGTCAGGTAGTCCAATACCTCCGCTCTTCTTAGGCATAGTTAGTTGGTCGAAACTAATTCTGGGGTGTTTGGTACCCCATAGAAATGAGGTACACAGTGTTTTGTAAGACTTAAAAAAGGAATTGGGTAATTTAATTGGGATCGTTTGCAGTAGGTATGGTAGTCTAGGGAGTACATTAATCTTAACCACTTGCCGCCCTGCCACTGTAGAAATATGGCGGCAGGGCGGCACAGGCAGGCAAAACCACGTTTTAAAACGTGTGTTTTGTAAACAGATAGGGGGCGCGCCGCCGCCCTATCTGTCCCGCCGATCACCGCCGCGGATGTCAGTCGCCGGGTCACAGCCGATCCTTAGCGGCTGTTTCTCGGCGATCGGCGGTAAACAGTGACAGAGAGCACAGCTGCAGTAGCTGTGCTGTCTGTTACTTCCTTGTCAGCTCGAGGACGAGCTGGTCGAGACAGAAGAGTTTCTCTCTCTCGATCAGCCTTGTCCCGTCCAGCACACACCCCCCGCCCCCTAGTAAAACACTCCCCCTCACTCAGATAACCCTTCCCTGCAAAATAAAGTTAACCCCTTTCTCCCCAGTGTCATTAGTACAGTGTCAGTGTTTTTCTTTTTGCACTGATCACTGTATTAGTGTTTTTGGGGATGTCAGTGACCCCAATTCAGTATCCCCCAATGTCAAAATGTCTGCCGCAGTCCAGAAGTCCCACCATAAGTCACTGGTCACTGCCATAAGTCACTGATCGCCGCCATAATTCACTGATCGC